TTCAGTCGGAAGTTCCAAATGTGAATTATAGAGATTTGGATATTGTGGGATATGGCATCCTTGATCTGGCTGTTTTAGTAAAATAAAGCCGATTTTTTTTACCTTATGGAAAAACAATGTGAATATACTATATATATTATTTAAATTTTATTAGACAGCTTTTTGAATTTTTTTGTTTTGTTTTCTTTTTTTATTTTTTTTTTGTTTTTTTTTGTTTTTTTTTTGTTTTTTTTTTTTTTTTTTTTTTTGTTTTTTGTTTTTTATATTATTATTTTTGGCTTTTCAAAGTGAATAACACGAATTTTACTTCATGGACCTGTTGTTAGACGTGTTGTATTTTTATTCAAAAAAGTTGCTCTGATATTTAGTTTCGTACAATTCTTGTATTTGTTATTATTATTCTAGTATTATTACCACTATTTGTTAATAATAATAATAATGTTTAGTTAATGCATTTATATGACAACCAGATAACGACCGGTTAAACACCGACTATGGATCTGACCTTCGTTGGATGAAATGATAATAGGGATTTGCTAAATTATGTAGCAGTATGTTAAAGAGTATGAAAAATCTTAAAATCTCATATCAAAATCATCTTATGAAGTGTTAGTGAAGCTCATGGAAGTCTGTCAGATATAATTTAAAGTAAGGATTAATCCAAAGTAATTAATAAATGAATTAAAGGTAAAAGCAAATTGAAAAAACAAAGTTTTTATAAAATCTTATAATCCTTATTATTGCAGCGTATTTCAAATTGAAGTTATATCGGAAATGCTAAATATCCTAGAATGTTATTACTCGGAAATTTGTTAAAAAACTTATGATTAACCAAGTTGCAATCAATATCTTAGATTTGAGAGCATTAAGATCTATGATGACCGATTCATATGAGTCATAGAACGTAATAATATTTTTTGAAGAATCACTTTTGATGAACCGATATATAGGTTTGTTTTCCTTATAAGCGTGATCTCCTATATCATGTGATTGATGGTGTGGAATTGTTTAATTTTATTGATCTATGTAAAAAAAACGAACAAGTCAAGATTCGAAAACAATTAAAATTTCTATTGAATTTTCTATTCATAAGGTACAGTCATAAATAAACAAAAAAAAATTTGGAACTCGAGTTTTTCAGATCTTTCCGTGACGTCTGATTTAATGAAAACATTTTTGTCATTAACTCCATATTATACTATATAAAATAAAGAAATGTATTAATACTTGACATCAATAAGTATATTGAAATTATTTTAGTATCAAATTCTTAACCTCGCAACAAAATGAACCCTCAGAAAGATTCATACAATTGTACTTAATACGCTTGCTCTAACATGAGATCCACAGTTAATACCCTACATATATTACATATATATATATATATATATACATTTATATCATAAGTATCACAGCTATATAATAATAAATTATAATATCAATGCACTTTATCCAAACTCTTTTTCTTTTTCATTTCTTCTCAATCTTCATTTTATCTCTAATGCTTTTATTTTGCCTACATATAAGCAGTTCTTAGAGAATTTATGATTTCTCAATCGGCTTACGTGTGCCACCTCAAGATTTATTACAATTTGTCAAGTAATCAGGCAATACTAAGGATGATCCCGATACCGCTTATTTCGACAAAGTCAAACTGTCTCCCGTCGACGAGTACCTTCTGAAATTCGCTCGAGGGTACCTCACCCGGTTGCATAACCCTCCATCTGACGTTTCTACCTCTAGCACCTACTTTGTAGATCTCGTTCAAGCCATGCAGTCCAAAGCCTTCCTTCAACACCTGACGCTATACTTTAATAAGAGGAATGCGGATTCTTCCATCATCACCGTCTATAACCATGGCACTAGTGAGTCCGGTTACAGAGTCTACCACTAGTCCACCCAAAATTCAATGAATTTAAATATAATAAAAAATTCTCGCATATACATAGAGATAATTTAAAAAGGAGTTGTGATGAACAGAAATACTAGGGCTTTTGTAAAATATTTTGAAAATTTGAAATTTTTCAAAATGCTACCAGATTATATAATTTATAGAGAGGGCTTATAGTTCTAGAGATTAAAATTGAATCCACTAATCTCATAAAGTGTCAACTTAACAATGCCATTAGAATCGCAATGATTTTATTTTCATTTAGTGAAAAAAGAAGCCCTGAAGTACACATAATGTATTTGTAATAGGAGATATATGTACGAAAAACGTAAGAAGAAGACGTAAAAACGTAATAATAAAAATTTAAATATATATAAATGTATGTCATTACACGACGCAAGTATATTTTTATTTTTTTTATCAAATACACTCAAAGTATACGGAAGGAGATTTTTGAATAGTACTTCAAATACTTCTGGTGCGTTCCGTTCTTTACTACGAAATAAATTTTTTAAAATTTAGAACCCGAGGGGATCTGTAGACTGTAGTGTCAGTAGTGACTTGAACTTCATAGAACTTTTTTTTTTATTTGGTAAAAATAAAAGTTGTTGAAGTAAGATTTATATTATATATTTAGAATAGATTCTACAATCGTATCTTTAGTCTCAAAACTGATTAAAGTATGAATTAGGACAGTAAAATTATTGATTAAAAAGTGATTTAAGTCAGTATTGGGACTAACGTAACGATTGTGAAATCGATATTAAGGGTTAAGTTATGTCTACAATCATTGTCAGATTGCATATAAAATTTTGGTAAGAATAAGAAAGCAAAATTCGATTAAAATATGGTTGCGATAAAGAGAATTTCAGTACCTCACCACATATAGTAAGTCAAAACAATATTATTTTTAGAATAAATTATTCTAAAATAACTACACAAAAAAATTTGTTTTTTCAATTTTTTTAACTAGTAAAAATGATTAAAACAGCATGATTCCAAGAACGGTCGGGTTTACATCCCAGAGCCACTCGTCGCCAACGACAATCAATTGTCGTTCAACACCTCCCAAAGGAACTTCACAAGTAGGCGGGTTAACACAATAAGAACAACATTGGAAATTAACAATAGAGACTTGACTGTATGCATAACATATGCAGAGTATTATCTTATAAGCTAAGGCGGAACATATCGATTCAATTTTGGATATCTTTTTTATATTTTTATTAAACCAGAAATTAGAATGTGATAATATTATTTTTTATGGGTGTATAAGTTTGTGTAATTTAGTTTAAAAATAAATGCAGCTATAATTGAAAATGTCTTAGGATGTAAGACTATAGTGCTTCTGTATAAGGCAGTATCAACCTTTTAATGTCTTAAATATTTGTACAAACTTGCTAAAATTAAAATGATTGATTTTTAATTTTAATTAATAAAGTGTGTTAAAAATTAAAGTTAGTTTATGCATTTATAAGAAACAAGTGATCTAGTTTATGGCAGTCTTTCTGTACGTTGCTCTTATACACCTATAGCAGGTTACCCCCCATAAGAAAAGTATTTTCGTAAGCATAAAATCGGGTTTCGTGCTGTCCACTGCAACCGGTTAATTATAATTGAATCGGTAATTATTGATTAAAAAGCGTTTATAATTAAGTACCTATTAAAATATATGCACTAAATCGATTTGGCTAATAAGTCTGTAATTTGTTGCTAAATACCTAAACGCGCTGATTATAGAGTAACTTAAAGAAAAAAAAATGCAAACAAGAAAATGTGCTCCACTTAAAATCAAACTTGGATTCAACCAGTTGAAAGGCAGGCAAAAACTGCAACCAATGCAAATACGTGGCCCATAGTAATTACTGTAGGTCAGCTTATGTGGAGCCCTCCTAAAGGGAAACCTCTTTCAAGGTTAATTTAATAATGTGAACAATAATAATAAATACCAAAAACAATAAAAATATATTGTATATGTAAAATTGAAAGAAACAAAATGACAGAGGCGTGCTTGGCATGTAGACATTGACACGCTTAAGAATTCCATTATTTAGCATCCGAGGCATAAAAATTAATGAAGTCGGAGAAGCGAATGCAGACCAACCGTCGTAAGAAATGGCACGGCATGGAGTGTTGGGCTGGTTTATGACTTGGTTACGTTGATTTGACAGCCGAGCACTTGTACAATTAACTTAGCAAAAAGCCTGCGGAATAAATAAGGAGGACTGTAGCCTGTAGCCTACAGACTGTAGTAGTTGATAGATGGTGCACAGAGGACAGTGGGCAGAGAACGGAGAACAGTGGGCTGTGGATGGTAGCAAAGAAAAAGAATTCTAAGCGGCTTAAGGAAAAAATTAAAATGTATTAAGTGCGCCACAGCAGACCAAATGCTGACATAATAAAGCCACAATAATGAAGGTGCTGGGTGCATGCAGTAAATGTGGCTCACGGCAAATGCCCTGCTGCTAAGGCCGTGCTGCATACATTTAAGTAATTTTACAATTTATGAAGCGATTATGGCACGTCGACGGTTAGGAGTGAGGACTTGGCATTTGATCTGTGAAGTTTAGAGTGTGGAGCTTACGTTATTTTTTTTTTTTTTAAAGTGCCATACTCACAATTTCTCGAAGTTTTTTAATGAATCTTAGAAAGCAACAATTTTATAAAATAATAAACGTTAATTATAAATAATATGCAAGCAGCTATAATATAGAAAAAAAATAAATGTATATTAAAAAAAATTGTAGAAATTCGAGTAAGAGTCGTAAAAATTAAAAATTTTTAATTTATGAAAAATAAATAAAAAGCAAAAATCGCAGCCTTTTTTTAATGACTTCACATATTCACGCAATCGTCTTACAACTCTTGTGGAACGTTGCATGCCCCAGGTATATCATTAAGTTACCTTTTAATTATTTCCACTGCTTTGTCTTATTATTTAATAATGTATATAGTATTTATTATGTTTTTAGTTTGTATTGCATAAAAATTTCTGTTGATAAAAATTATTTAAGCTACGATTCATGCGCATGATGAACTTTGTTTCGTTATTCATTGCTCTGAACTCATTATTTAAGGTAGCATTGTAATGATATATATTTTAACTTACGTCACCAATTTCATTTCTTATCACATCGGCAGCTTTGTAGACTTCTTCTTTTCTTGATATATCAACTACGTAACCTTTGCAATAGCCGCCTTCCTCTTCCACCATATTGATTGTCTCTTTGATGCCTACACGTATATGGAATTTATTTTTATGCTTAGTTATAATTTATTTGGTACTTTCTTACCTTCTTTGTTGATGTCCCATATCACAACCTTTGTACCCATTTTTCCCAAGCGTTGGGCTAATAGTCTTCCTAGACCATTGCCACCTCCAGTAATTAAGGCAATATCTGTTTTCAACTCCTTTTCGGGATAACCAAAAGAAATATAATACAAGTCCTGTAATAAGAAAATTATTATTTAGTAAAATATTTTTTATTAGCTTTGTATTCACACATTTAGTAGATACATTTATGTTTTAAAATATAAAATAATAACATATATAGTAACATATATAGTAAATATGGTACGCATATGGTTGAGTGTTTGAACGGAAAGTACGCATTTATATTTATCTATACATAAGAATAAACTGTGACTATTTCCTTGAGAGCTGTTCAGCTTCTATTCGATGCAGACTTTAACAACCTTAGGTATAGAGCTCGACTCTGCTAAATATAGGTTTGGGTTTATTTAAGTGAATAGTTCTTGAAATATTTGTCAACACTTTCACTCGGGGGATATCTATTGCCGTTAAAATTATCTGGAAGATGCGACTTATATTAGCTGGTCCTTATATCTTCTTGTATTATTGTAATTGAACTGTTTGGCTTACAAGTTCGAACATTTCACTTTGGTTATTTCTGCGAAGCTAGTCAAAAAATGAACTATATGATCTTCAGCCTAGGTAAAAAACGTACAGCCACAGACAATGTTAGTGCATGCTGTGCACCACAACTTCACAATTGACCTTAAATGTTAATAATTTATGAAAACATTTCGTGGCCCTGAACCTGAGCTATAATCTCTCTGAATGAGCTCATTAGTGAACTCAGCTCTTAATGAGCTAAGTGAGTCCTTGATTTTTTTCTATCAAAACTAACCCAGACATTATAGTAGTCTTCTTTTAATCAGGTCAGATCCGACTTCCAAGTGATACTTGAGTTTTCAAAATAGTTTCAACCTGACGATAGGCAACCCTATACCGCTTCTATCTCCACCTAGAGAGAGATCAGTACCGTATCTGACTAAATCACCGAATCTTGCTTAAATATCATTATGATCTGTGACTCATATAAAGTGTACCCTTAAAACGATATTGATTTCATTTCAAACTTCCAGAAAACTCTGAGCACAATTTTCCCATTAGGTAAAAATGAATCAATCCGACAATTCTATGTACTCGGCCAAGTCCTTTATTTTGCAGTCCAAACAAAATATAAACGAACTATAATCTAATTAAAAAAAAACTTGAATGGGTACTTGGCAATACTCGAAACAGCTTTGTATTGTCAGCCAAATTTGAATAAATTAACAAAATTTTTGTTGTTGTCTTTTCTTTTCTATACGAATCCTTCTAACTTTTAAATAGTTTCTTTTCGTCATAAGACACGTCAATCATGGAAATGTATTTAATTTTGTTCTTGGATTTTTACAAAAAAGGTCTGCCAACTTAAGTTAACATAGCTCAAGTTCCCTAAGCATTAGTGCTTGAATATAAATGTATTTAGATTTGTTTATATCTTTTTACAGAAAAAAGATACCCTACCTTCCATCCCTTGACTAAGCCCATGATGTTTCATGAACTTGTTTAACAGACATATATTTATATAAACTAATAGCTAATATCTATATTTGTATCGAATTAGAAGCAACAGGAACTAATTAATAAATATCCAGTTACCTATTGGATTGACCAACTAGCAATACAACTCTTACTTCATCTTTAGTCTGTCTACTCAAATCGAAACTCTGAAAACAAGTTTGCTGTTTAAGTCTTTTGTGTTAAGAAAAATACAGCGGCTAAGAAAAATTCTTTGAAATTTTTAATATAAAAGCAGTTTTGATTTGAAAGAATCAAGTCACTTGTGTCAAGGCAAAGATCGTACTTAAAAGCATACAAAAAAGAAAAAAAAAATTATATATTGAAAGATCTAATATATTTCAGAAAATATAAAACTCAAACAAAAATATTAAAAGTATTAAAACACTTCAAATTTACATAAATTCGTATTGAAGTGTTAAAGGGCAAATTGAAATAAAATCGCTTGGCCATGAAAGTCTTCTTTAAATGTTTGTGAATAAATACGAAAGCCATAAAGTGTGTATTTCATTATTAAAACACATAAAACATATAAAACATTTTGTTATGAATTGTTAATTTTTTGAACTTATCGTCGAGTTGAGTTAATTATGTACAACACACATTACAGGCACATACGGCAGATACGGACAGGGCAGATACGGACAGGGCAGATACGGCAGATATAGCAGCAGATACGGTAAATACGGTAGATACGGCCACGGCAGAGATGCAGATAGAGATACGAGTTTTAGTGTAACATTTACACTTGAGATAAACAGGCTGTCAGCTTTAAAATTATAATTACATGTTATTATTATTATTTATTAATATTATTATGACTTGTTGAATTTTTTTTTGTTTGCTTATGTTTTTTTTTTTAATTTTTTTTGTTCTTTTTTTCTCTTAAATTTTAATAACAATAATTTTGATTTGTCATCGTCGTGTTAACTTGTTGACATATTAATTTTAGTTCATTTGCAGTTGCTGACATTAATTTATCTGCGGCTGAAAAGCGCTTAAAACAAGTAGCAGATATGATTAATATTTACGAAAAGCGGTTAAAAATGCAGAAGAGATGTCGTTCAAGTGTCCACAGGCCACAGGTGCAAGTGCAGGGGCGCCGGCTCATTGCAGCTCATAAAGGCGGATTATTACGTATGCATTCATTCATGGGCTGAACGTTATGCGCTGTCCGGACTGCCCGGACTGTTACGGACTCATTCATTCATTGTTAATGTCAAAATAATTGAGAAAAATCGTACGAGAATGGCGTGTTGCACGCTACACCCGGGTCATTGTTGCAAAGCAAATTGTATCTTGTATCTGTGTATGTTGTGGAAGTGTATATTTATTTGTACACGTAGCATGAAATATATACTTTTGATAGTTATGTATGAGCCAATTAACAACGATATTAACAATTTCGAAATGAAATTTATTTCATTTCATTTTCGTATAAGAAAATAATTTATTAATTATTCAAAAATTTCATCTTTGGTTTAAGTTCCGGTTTCAGTTCTTCAGACAGTTTATGCTTAAATATTTTTTTATACATTAAGACCGAAAAGTTTTCGGAAATTCTCATTTAAAATTCGCGCGCTGTATATTTTTCGATATTTTAAGTTTATGTAGTTTGGCAGCACTGTCCTTAATTACTATGCCAAAAATGAGCGCGATCTGTCAGACAGTTCGTTTACGGCAGCTGTTGAAACCAGTTCACCTCAGTAGGGCGTTGCGAAAAAAACAATGGAAAAAAATATTGAACAAAGAGTTTGCATCAAATTTTGTGTTTCGAACGAAATTTCGTGTGCAGAATCGTTGCGAATGCTACAAAAGGCTTATGGGGAATCAGTTTTATCGAAAACTCAAGTTTATGAGTGGTACAAAGCCTTCCAGGACGGTCGTACGACCGTCGAAGACATTTCGCAACGCACTACTGAGGTGAACTGGTTTCAACAGCTGCCGTAAACGAACTGTCTGACAGATCGAGCTCATTTTTGGCATAGTAATTAAGGACAGTGCTGCCAAACTACATAAACTTAAAATATCGAAAAATATACAGCGCGCGAATTTTAAATGAGAATTTCCGAAAACTTTTCAGTCTTAATGTACACTAAATAAATTTAACTTAAGCATAAAATGGAGATATACAATTTGTTTAAGCAACAAGTTCGTATATATTCAAGAGCTATTAATATTATTTTTTATTTGTTTAGTTTTTTATTAAAGCTCAACACCTACACAGCTCACGATATTATACTACTGAATTAATATGGAAAAGGAATAGTACACTGCGAACTAAAAGATCTATTGTGGCACTTAGTCATATCAGAAATTTTCCACAAGTCCGATTTCTTTACTGAACGATTGTATAGAAACCTATCTTTCCTAATCTTGAATCCTTATATTCCATGAAATAATCTCCAAAGTAGGATTAGAGTATTTTTTCAAGTCCGATTTCTTTAATGAAAGATACTACAGAAACCTATCTTTTCTAATCTTGAATCCTTTTATATTCCATGAAATACCCTCCAAAGTCAGATTAGAGTCTTTTTTCTCCAAGTCCGATTTCTTTAATGAAACATACTACAGAAACCTATCTTTTCTAATCTTGAATCCTTTTATATTCCATGAAATACCCACCAAAGTGTTGCTTTCACTTATGCATCAATACCGGACACGCCCCTAGGACATGGTATGCGGTTTCTCTCTCTTCTTTACAGTATCTGCAGACTTTTTATAACGGAATTAGGTAACATCTCTCAAAAGGACATAATGCCGTTCTTAACTGCTAATCGTCTATGGAACTAAAATCAGTATGTCACAATAATCCATAAAGGATGCAGTGACATGCTGACAAGTTCCCAATCTGTTTTAAAATCTAATCTAAGATTGAATTCCTGACTTTGTTAGGTGATTATTCGATCTATAGTGACCGGTTAGGAATCCCGTTATAATACTTAGATTATTATTTGTTTGTTCTATGCAATTCTTGAAGTCCGCAACTTCTTTAACTGTTCATCCACCAACTACAATATATTTATTTAAAATACTGAATATTTCATCGAAACGATATACTAACTTCTGAATTAGTATTAGTGCTAGTACCTTAACACTTTTTCATGGTATCACAACTATATTTATTTTATTTGGACTATTTAGGGCCCAAATGTGCTCCATTTTCATGAAAAGAGCTACAATGTCTATTTTTCTACACTTGATAAACATAATCGCATACTGACATCGCTTCGTTTAAGGTTTCGAAGGTATTAAATATTTCACTCATTATTCTTATTTACTTTTTAACTATGGTAAATGATCAATAAACACGAAAATAAATACAAATTGCTAATAGAATTAAAAACTAATTATTTTGTTTACAAATTTGACATTATTACCTAACCTATTAACACTATTTTTTACAACTTTTCTGTAAATTATAAACACTCGACCTACTTACTTAAGTGGCACCCCTCGTAAAGCAAATAATCGCATTGCTACTGGAAACAAAACAGTTCTGTTTGGCGTATTAAGCACTTGTTTGACGTTTTAAGTACTTGTCTAGAGTGATTAAGTATTAAGTAATGAAACAGTT